AAACAAAATAAAAAGTACTGTTTTACTTCGCATTTCATCTGCAACTTCTGGAGCACAATCCATCAAATTTAGGGATTCAATTTCAAATTTTATTATTTTCAATTTCGAGCAACAGCTCTCTTTTAAATGTCTTAAGCACTTTGATGCTTCTTATATTACTGTTTAGCTTATTGTATAGTAAGAATCCACTATACTCTATACATTTTTCACTACCTTTCGTCCTTTTTCTATTCACCATCAGATTATTCGCACTTCTCATCTTATACTTATTACTACTAAACGATGCTAGGTCACATACATATTGAGGTAACATATTATTAATTAATTTATTTATAAAAATACACACATTGAATTTTATCCTCTGTTCAATGGACAAAAACCCAAGCGTAACAAGCATGTCTTTTATCCTAGTATATCGATTTATATTTAATATCACTCGCATCGCTCTATTTTGTAATATTTGTAGTTTATTCAGGTACTTCTTATCAAAGTTCAAGAAAATAGAACTACAGTATTCCAGGTGCGGAGATATAATACTTTTAAACAAGGTTACTTTGGCAAAATTACTTAAAGAGAATCTTAACCTACTTATACAATTTATTTTCTTGTTAACTTTGCTTATAATCCATTCGGCATGCTCATTAAATTTCAATTTATTGTCAATTATTACACCAAGATATTTGGTTTTACTAACTTCTTCGACTTGACAATTATTAAAAATTATTTGACATTTTTCTCTAGAATCTATTTTTCTACTATCATAGATTAAGATAAATATAGTTTTTTTAATATTAATTATGAATGAGTTAGGTTTCATCCAATCCCTTGAACTATCAAGACTTTTTTTCAAATTTACTTCGATATTTTTTTTGTATCTACTGCTCTTCCAAATTATTAAATCATCAGCAAACAATCTACATTAGCAGCCTACTGCTTTTAAATCATCTATTACATCATTAACATACAATATAAATAACAGTGGTCCTAACTTAGACCCTTGGGGGACACCGTGTATTACCTTTTGCTTATCTGATAAAACATTATTAATTTTAACTTGCTGTGTTTTATTGTCAAGATACGATCTAAACCAATTCAATACATTGCCTCTTATTCCATATTTATACATTTTATTCAATAAATGTGTTCTACTGATCGTCTCAAAAGCAATTTTAAAATCAATGAAGACAACTCCAATCATATCTCCATTATATGTAGCATTTTTTTCGTTTTCGATATCTTTAGAATAGATTAAGATATCAACTTCAACCAAAATTAATTCGAAAGATATGATTATAAAAAAGATCTAAAAGAAATGTAAACGAATTCGATCAAGCCGTTTTTTTTATAACAAAGTGACTGATAAAAAAATGAAAAGATTGGCTATTTAAAATACTTTTAAGCTAAACAATAACAATTTCATCTGAAAATTAATTCAATATGAACGAGACATTATTATTTACAACCAAATATGACTCTTAACAATTACGCATTGTTTATTAACTTCCCAGTGGGAAGTTATAGTAATGGGTCCGATTTTGCGAATCGCTAATTTTGACATATATCCACGTTTTAAGGTCCCCAGAGTTGAATACGATAGTTTTTACGTGGACGTCTGTGTGTGCGTATGTGCGTTTGTGCATATGTGCGTACGTACGTTCGGAATTATTTTTCGCCTCGATTATCTCGAGAACAAAAAATGATATCGATGTGGGACCACTTTCATTCGACGCGTAATTACGTAACTTAGAACTGAAAAAGTTTTCAGGGAAATCGGTAGAGCAATTTTTTTGGCAGAATCAAAAAAGTGGAAAAAAAGGAAATAACCTGAATTTTGCAATTTATAAATTATACCATTTTTTAGACAAAATTTCAAGATCATTGCAGAAATATGAATATTAGATGATTGGAATACTTGTATGGATATATGATGACAATATTTCATCGAAAAAAAAATTTTTAAAAAACGAAATCAGCAATAAAAAAATTTTAAACTTGTGTTGGGATGGAGAAAATAGCGTTGAGGATAATAAAATAGTCAATGATTATTGTCAATAATATGGAATTGTGTTCATAACAATTGAACATTGTTACTAATAAGTGATTATTGATCATAGTAATATTTAAATAATAAGTTTTAAATTGTTATAAACAATAAAAATAGGGACTCTTTCGATATATAAGAGTACTTTTAACGCATAATTTTTTCGTTTACTAAAAAAATGTTACCAACCGTATGACATAAATAAAAACATACTTTTTCCGTCTATAACAATGAAATTCGTTGTAAATAATGAAAAAAAAGATCTATGAGGTACATTCGAATTCTTCTAACGCACAATTTTTTCTTTTACTGAAATAAAGTAACTAACCATATCAAATAAATAAAAACAGACTCATTTCGTTCATAACAATTCCATTTGTTATAAAAAATGGAAACGGGTTCTATTCAAATTGTTTTTTCATTTTTTCCACTGGAAAGTTGGTCGTGTGGACCTTTCGGGTCGCACCTAGACCACTGCAGAGCACTGATATTATTAATATGAATTTGTTATAAACCATTACTAATGGGAAGTTTGTCGTGTTAGCACAAAGTGTGTTCAGACCTATTTTTTTGATCTCGTAATCCTGTTTATCCATGCAATCCGTGGAATCATTTTTCATGTATCTATATAGATATTTTTGCGCTGCAATTTAGTTTGTATATATATTTGTAATAATCTTATGAGATTTTCAACTCTCGAAGATGTCGTAGCATTTTTATTCGGAAACTATTTTCTAGAGTGATAAAATTACTTATACATTTGCATGAGATTTGCTCTTATTTTTCGACAATTTTGAAGTTGAATATGCATATTTTTTTCAGAATGCATAAACGTGTTCCTCTGACCTCAGTTTGTCATGAAGAAGTTATTGTAATGTTTAAACATATAAACGGTTTATACAGATCGTTTTCGATTTTTTACATGTATGTACGTATGTACGTACATACGTACACAATTTTTCGATTATTAATTAAAATATCTACTTCGGACTAATCGCATTCGATTAAAAATGCGAGGAAGAAAACTTAAAAAGTGATGTGTTATGTATTTTTGCTCTTTAAATGTGTCAATAATGAGTCATATGTTTAAGCTTAGAGACTTTAAGTTTCTCTTCTTAGTCTTAGCCTTCCCACTAATCGACAAGGATGAAGGGATCTTTCATAGAGAATGTAAAAATGTGTGTGATTTACTATTAATTGATCGTCAGTCGATGCTCCAGCGCAATATTCACATTTCCACTCGCAAATTGAATTTAAATATTCACTGGAAATATCAAATTCAATTCATACAAAAATTTATTAACTTCGAATTATTAGCAGTACGATATTCACGAGAAATAAGACTTACGATTTCAAGAGATGTTTCACGACGATTCGACCTCGATCTTACTTTTTTGACAATTGACTGATGCATCGAACCTTACGTATTCATTTCTTCGCAGATCACATAATCAAAAATCCCTTCTTCCAGATGGGCACAAGTCCCTTCACATGGTCCTTCCCTTTTTTAGAAAGCTAATACTCTTCTTGTGTTACGTACTCTTTTTTGAAGTATTATTGCTTTTCGCCGCGTGGGTTTTCCAAAAGCAATAAAAATTTTAAAAAATGATTCTTTCAATTACTCCTCGAAATCATTTCTATTTAAACAAAAACTTAGAGGAACTCAAAAACTAATTTAAGTAATAATAGTTTACCCTAATCCTTGACTTGTTATTGCTATTTATTGCAGCATCTCTTGAAATATATATCAAAAAATTATATAAAATAATTGAAATACACTTGAACATTACAGATTAACCAAGGTCGATGGTTTTTTTTCTTTCATAGAAAAAGTAGGATTATAATACAAAATTAGTGAAGGTTTCAAGTTTTCATTCAAACCTAGTATTTTAGAGTTATTCCCAACAGCAAAGGTCCTAAAATAAAAAATTTTGTATCATTCAACATTCTAATCATTTTTTATAATAGTAAATATTACATTGTAGCTCTCGAATATGCATCAAATTTTTCGTTATTCCGTATGCATATTCATAGGCATATATAAGTCATATACGTTTTGAAAATAATATACACTATAGATACGCAGACCCAATAAAAGTCTTGCATAGCGGTTATCTTCGAGATTTTATTTCATTCAGAACAATATGAATCTGTAAAAAACAATACGTTTCACGTAAAATGTGATGTAAAATTACACCGTTTGGCTGCGATAGAGTCGAAACTGACACGTACCGAAATATCTTTCTTGTAAGTTACATTATTAATACAATCAAATTTAGATCTTTAAAATTTATCTTAGCTCTCATTTCAGCACTCATCAAATCCCAGCTCTTTATCTTCAACCTATCCAATTATAGTTGTCCTGCCATTGTGCTAGGTCTACCGATGCTGGCCACAACGTGTTTGGAGCCGTTAACGCTCACGCGCCGTTCAAGCACACGTGCTTGGTTACCGCTCTTGCATTTATTTGATTAAAAAATTGTTCTTTGCTTATTAATTGGCTCTAGTTTGTTCGGTACTGTTCTACTAATCATTGTTTATTAACGCCTTACCTAGTTTTTTTTTCATACTAAAAAGATTATTAGCTTAATTAAAGTGTCTGTCTTTTGTGAGTATACCTCTTCTTACCACATCGTATGGCGTAGCTCAAAAGTTGGCCCTAATTAATTAAAGAAATATCATCTGCAATTTATTTGCTTTAAAAACAGATGTACAGAATGTATTAATTTTTATATTACACCACAAATTATCTAAACTCGTTATGCATTTCTAATTTCGAACTCTTCTCTCGATTTTGACTGTTTTGATGAAGTTGTAACATTAATAAAAATCATGTCTAATTAGGAGTCGTTACTGATGAGCCACCCTCGAGGCACTTAAAAATAAGTGACAAAAGAATGTATTGGATAGTTTCAGAAAAACGATATTATAAAACAATACGTAAAGTTCATTTACTTACAGTGACGAAAATTGTGTTACTAAGATCTTCAGTGTATGAAAAAGACGGTGACTCATAAACTGCCGCTGTTAACCTCAAAACTTCTTTCAAATAGTCGTCAAACTTACTGTGTATCAAACAGCCATTGCTATCAGATATTTGAGAATATATGTCTGAAAATACAAAAATTATCGTTTATTTTAAGGGTATAATCAGGTTCACTAAGAAAATCCGTCTCTGCCGATTTTGTTGCTCGCGTTTAGAGGGATTGATTTGGTATTAAACAAAAAAATGTAGTTGAATTTTTAATATTTATTTTAAATGGTTTTTTAATTTTTAAATAAGACTTTCTCTCTTGATTTTTCTTTTTATAATTGTAATATTTTAAATTTATAAACGGTGATTTTATCTTAATTCTTAGAAGTGAAACATATAAAAAAAACCTCTAGTAATGATTCACTAACGAAAAGCCAATTTTTGACAAAAGAAATAAAATTTCGACTTATTGTTATTTGATTTATTAAAAATGTGACTTCCCGGATATTGTCTGAAAATTTTTTCAACTGCCCTTTACATTTAAAAACATTTTCAATTTTCATAAGTAGTGAAGCTAATAGAAAAAAATTTAAAAGTGTAATACATTTGCATAACATTCAAAAAAAAATTCTGTAAAAGAGTATAAATTATCATGAAAATATGCGGCGTGATGTATAGTCCAATCATTTAAGTTTTTATCCGCGGAAATATTGAATTGGATAAAATTTTGATACAATATTTGTAGGGAATGTACAATTAGTTTCCCCTAAAAAAAGAGCTTCGACGGTGGGCGAGGATTAAAATTACCTTTTAAACGCTGTTTTATGTACTTTTTTATGTTTGTTCTTTTTTTTCTAGGACTATCACATATATGATCAAATTTTTTAGACAACCGTTGTAGCAGCTACGATTTAACCCCTGAAGGTTAGAGAAATTCAAATCAATGATATTAAAAAAACATTCATTAATTTCTGCGCCGTCTACAAGGATAGCAGCATCTACTAGATTGCTATGCATACAGTACGACTGGCAATTCATGAAGCAGCATTTTGTAGACTTTGAACAAACTAAGCGATCACTAGAATGGAATAGAGAAATTGCCTTACGTGATAAGTAATTAATTTTTACACTATTATATTCTATCTATAAACTTTTAGTATCATATACTTTTTTTAAATTAAATAACAATTATTTTACTTATACAATTTATTTGTTAAAAAAATTACATTTAGAATAATAATAATAATAATTACATTTATCTTACTTCTTCATCATATATACTTTTTATTTATGTAAGAGTTCGAATTTGTGAACTTGATGATTTATATTCTATTATTCAATCATGAATAATTAGGCAATAAGCTGATGTGTTAGCATTTGACAATTCAAATTACAATCGAACATCAATAGGTTCTGATTTCAAGGATTTATTTTGTTTAGAACAATCAATTACACCAAGTGGTGCCGTAGCCAATAATCCAGTTTTCGTAAGTAGAGGTTGTACCTCTTTATCATAATATGATGTTGGAAAATCTTTATACATATTATATAACAAAGAAAATTGATTGTGAATTATATCAAGATTCATATTGCCATATGAATAACACTGTGAATTGAGAAAAAGTTTGACATCTTTTAAATTACAATGATCAAAACAACTTGTATCTGCCATATCATTATTTTTGCGTGCAGTTTGATATCCTAATATAACATAGCGGGGCTTTTCCAATTGAGTTGATGTTTTTACAACCCATACGTGTCTTGTCGTTCTCAGTAACATTATATATTCATATAATTCCTATGATCTAAAATCCATCGGAACAGGTAGATCTTTTGCAATATAGCTTAACACTTCCACCTGTTTTCTATCTGAAACAGTGACATAAGGAATTACCCACTCAATTTTTGCAAGAGTGATTTTTTCCTGTGGATTTGCAGCAGCTGGCTCATTGCATTAAGATCAGTATTTGTCTGGAAGACAATGTATGTTTAGCACTAACAATTATACGACGATAATCTTCAGTAAATCCTAATAACATATGTAATGATACAGAAAAATCAAAATTTCCATTGGCATCAAATAGATTCTGATTATCAACTATCTAACCGGCGTTATCTAAGTAATTTTCTTGACCTGGATGAAGAGATATATATCCTTTTATCAGACTTGTACGACGTTTTCATTACAATTAATCTCAACACCATTTAACTTATATCGTATTTATATGTGGAGAACTTTTACTTGGTAACAATTACAAATCTTGATGTTGAACTGAATGTGTATTTCATCACATTTATTCTATGTTGTAGAAGCAAATGGTTGATGGGCATGCACTTTATAGTGTGCAATTGTTTCATCAAATATGACTCCTTGGTTTGTCACTAATTTTTCTTCTTTTGTGGTAAAAGACATGCGATACTGCAAACTTTGACTTTGATTTTGAAACATTTTTGTGTAGTTTTAAACCCACGTTATTCAGAAATAAACGATTTTGATAAGTTAATTGTGTGAGTTGTCTTCGTTGACTGATGGAATTGAGGTATGATATGGTGCTTGTACAGCTTCCTCTAACTATTGGTTTATAAACGATTCCCATTATGATACTGATTTTACATGTAGACGTATTTGTTATTGTTCCACCACGTATATCAACTAATTGACCGTCTTGATCGACAACTTGCAGTTGTAAATAATGTATTATCTGTACGATGATTGGCAGATAAATGACATTTGATGGCACATCAATAATCTTATATCCTGATGGAACTGATGGAAAAAATTCATAAATCGTATGCACCAGCTTATCATGTACATATGCTCCTGTTATTATACGCAATTCTCAATGCGTTGACTTTTAATATAGATACTGGTAAATCAGACGAGTGATTAAGCTTTGGGAAAAGAAGTCGTGAACCCAAACCGAACAAACTACTGATAGAATCATCTGGTACAAAATTTACTATAGCATCTTCACTGTAAACTTCAAAGCGCAGTTCATTGTTATTTAGCTTTGATGGAATTATTATTCGGTCATTAGCTTTCTTTAAATAATTTTCAAAATCTTCAATTTCATAGCTTGCTGTTGATATTCCAATAATTTTATCTTCACCATTCACTGTATAATAGAATATATTCGTACCATTGTCAATCTTTGGAAAGGAACTAACGGTTGATAATTCTACAAGCCTTAATATATATTTTTTAGATGGTGATTATTCAATTGGTGGACAATAAAATGCTTCTAGAATGGACGATTGCCTAGACAATGTTAACGTGAATATATCATCCATGACTGATACTTACTATAAGTTCTATATTACTTTTATACTTTTTGATGTAAAAATTTCAAACACAAATGTCCACAATTGTCCGTACAATAGTCTTGATATTTATCAAGGTTATACATTATTTCATCGACATGTAGATATTTTATTAGCTCTGGTGGTTGTAAATTACCAAAACTATCATAGTATGTCACTTAATTGTTACTTTTTTTATATGCTACCCAATGGGCTCCAGGACCATTTTTATCTTCCAGGTTGATAATTGCTGATTCATTCTTCCATGGTCTAGATTTTGGAAGATCGTTTCACCTGAAAACACCACGAAAATAGGGTATTTTCAAAATTTTAGGATATTTTGGATGTTCTATATCCGTCAAAGCTCGATGGAGTAAATTAATGATTTTGTTTTTTACTCGGTTTCAATCCAAAACCTATCTTATATAGTTTCAAATACAATCGCAATCCTTTTTTATATGGCTTCAAATGTTATCCTTATCCTGTTTTACGTGATTTTAAACATAAACCTTTACCTAAAGCTATCGTTTCCATTTTTTATTGTGTCGTTTTGCTTCTTCTAATTGACTTTTGGCGGCTCTAACATCATTAATTGCTTTAGAGATACCAGCAGTACTAACTGCACTTAAACCAGCAAATAGAGGTATAAGAGGTAAAATACCTCCCACTTTTAGTGGCATCGTTACAATACGTAGAACTTTTCTTTTTTCCTTTTCACCAGCATTATGAACCACTTTTTTGCAGCAGCTAATGCAGAATTATAGGATTTGGACAAGAATTCAACATAAGCTTTGCTGAATTTACAACTTCTTGCAAATGTTTAACTCCTTTGCCCTTTTTTCTCTTCAGGCCCATTCCAAGTTTCGATTTAATTTTTACGAGAAGGGCTATTTCTAAAGCAACAAGTCGTCCACACAGATTTGTATCTCTTGCAAATTACGTTTTAAAGATTTTCCAGCAAGTATTCTATCGGATGCGTTCTTAGCTTTAGTATTTAATCTATTTTGCAAGTATGCAATATCGTGGTTTCTGGTTGTCCACGTGCTAATCTCTCCTTTAAATTAGTTCTCGGACCACAATAATGATGTCCTGGTATGTGAAGTTCGAATGGCAATTTTTTCATTAATGTGTCAACAAAACTACTGCCGCGTTTCTTGATAGGTCTTTGCACTATTATTGTTTGAGAAATACTGATTTAGCATCGATACAAGATGCGAATTCATAGCTGCGATATCATTGTTTGTCAAGATAGAGTTCAAACAACAAAACATTACGCTATTTGTTATAAACTTTGACATACCACTAACAACTTCCAAACGTCATGGACAGATTTTACCCAATAGCGTTCGAGCTATTATTTATGGTCCATCAAATTGTGATAAGACAAATGCTCTTTTAGCACTAATCATTTTCCAAGTGGTCTGAGATTTGAAAATATATATCTTTATTCAAAATTATTCAATCAACCTAAGTGGAGTATAGCATAAGAAAGTTAAAAGGTGATCGACTGATGATGGGTGATTCTGAAATCAGATTCGACAATAATTTTACTTATATTAGTGATAAGAAATACAATACTTCTACGGGTCTATTGGAACTGTCATTCATGAATTCACCTGAAATTTATACCAAAAAGTGAGAAAAGTTCATCACAATACATTATTAAACATAAACGTAATTATCCTATCGATTACATTTATTGGGATGATCTCAATGATCTTGTAGATCAACTTCGTTTATTTATTGCCTCTCAAACTGCTAGAAATTTTAGTCACACCAATGAAATTTTATCAATCATAGAGGAATCACGTGAAGCTGAAATCATTCATTAATCTGA